TATACATTTGAACCAATTAAGCGCTTGGCCCCTCAAAGCGCTGGTAGCTAATGTGACTTTTTGGAACTCGTGCACGGGAGACATCATGAAGTGGTCCTCCAATTTTTCCAAAAAACTGGTTACCGATGAGTTTCCATTAAACGTTGCTTCTGGTTTCATCGAAGCGCGCATGGTCTGGACGATGTAACCGAATCCTTCCAGGGCGGCAGCTGGCATTTCTGGATTCTGAGCCGTTTCTGCAGGCAGCACAGGTTCTTCTTGAAACTCGGCCATGGTTATTCTTCTTCATTGGGCGCCACTATCAGGGTCAATGTTCCTTCTAACCTTCTTCGGGAACATACAAGGACCTGACTAGGAACAGAGAGCAGAGAGCTTACTAAAGCTATGTTCACTAATTGTAGTAAGTAGACAGGATACCGACGAAGGGTATACAAAACCCTTTGTTTTTCTCTATATACAATAACTTCCGTACTTCGGAATACAATGACCCGCCACTCGGGGTCTAACGTAAAAGTATAAAAATAAAACTAAACTCTAATTTAACTTTAGAATAATATACGTGGAAGATTGGCCTTATAATAACAGGAAGCGTATGTAGCACAGAGACTGTGAACACTACAATACGTTTTAATTTATCAAAAGGATTAAAACCTCTGGCCTGGAAGGCAAACAGCAACTGCGTAACTTCTAAGGTAAGCGGCCTGCTTCGAACTCACTGCTTCCTCCCTTTCGCTTGGCAAAAAGGCCACACTTAAATACTTGGCGTTCGCCAGACAAACTTTGCATAAAAACCTTCACGCTTATAATTCTGGCCGGAAGTAGAAAATAAGAAGTGATAGTAAAGATTTAAAATAAAATAAACGTTAGTAAAACTTAAGATCCTTACATCTCAATCGAATATACTTAAACATTTTGCTCGTCAAAATGTTTCTTCAAAGAGGGAAGGAGCTGTAACATTCCCCTTCTCTGAAGAACGCTTGGTCACCTGCCCTAAAAGAAGGGACAGAGAATTCTCTTCTCGCCTCGGCCGGAAGAGGGGAGTGGACTTTTCCCCCTGGTTGCAGGTGGGAGTAAAAAGAGATTGAGATGTGGAAGAGAAAAGAGCGGATGCTGGTTTGCTCGCCCTACTGTAGTGAAAATGTATTTTAAAGTTTTTTTTAAATTGTAATCTGTACATAGTTGTACATAAAGATAAATATTTAGTCTAGAACAGGTCTTGTTTATTTGACGGATATACGATATTGCTACAACGCCAATAGTTTGAATAAATTATGGATCCTTCATCTACATATTCGACTATCTTTCCCATCAGTATGCTCTCTATTCACTACCTGAACTACAAAACATTTGCCAGTTTCACAGCATATTCTTCTGAATATCCACTGCTGGGGTACAATTCTCCCTTCAATGTTTTTCCATCGAACAAACAGGCTTTCATTAATTTCAACTATTTTCTCAAAACTGCCTATTCATTATTTAGGTTGTTGTAGGAGATCCAAACAACATGCTTCTCTCATTGTTCCAGTCAATCGTTCTTTTATCACTGATATTTAGTTGCTTTTCACACCACTTAACTGAAGTAAGCTCTTCACTCCAACAGTAAATAAATATCAGCGCTGTTGTAAATGGAAATCTTGATCTACTGAACCAATTACCAGATCTAATGCCTCTATTAAGTTTGCAATTCTTCACATCGCACTGCCATATATTTGCATTGATGTAGAGCAGCGGTGCCCAATCTTGTGCTCGCCAGCCCGATTAAGTATTATGAACCAAAAATATTTTAAGAATAACCATTCATTTATATTTCTTAATTGTTAAAATATGGTAATCATTTATAGTTATAAGAGATATCTAGCGAGACATTATAAAATAATTAATTGCTGACTGATGAACTTGATAGCGAAGATGGAATCTTTTTGCTTCATTCAGATGTTAGAATCCTCAGCAAGAAAAAAGTACTTCAATGATTTGTAGAACTTCTTTTGCCAATAAAGCAGTTTTGGGAATCCGAAAACAAAAGTTATAAAGAATTGGACGATAATAATTGGTTATCCGATCTGTATTTTCTCACGAATATAACAGCTAAACTGAACAAACTGAATGAAGATCTCCAGGAAAAAGAAAAAACCCCTTTTCAATTGACTGGGACTGTAACTGCTTTTTAGATAAATTTGTGGATAAATCAGATGAAAGAAAAAAATTTCACCCATTTTTAGAATTTATCAAGCCATTTTAATAATCACAAGGCAATTGAAACAGAGAAATATTCGAAAACCTAAATGCACTGAAAAATAATTTTGAACTCCGCTTCTCCGATTTCCATGAAGTTCAACTAGTATTATTATTCATCTCAAACCTATTTGCCAAAATTAATACAGATGTATCACATAAGATTGGAAATAAATAACAAAAATGTTGATGTTTTGGAAATGTGCTTGTGATAGGCCAAAGGTTGGGCATCACTGATGTAGAGATTCATTTTGTGACCATTTTAACAGGTTTGATTACGAGGTAAAATATCTCTTTCTTGAAAGAAAACTATAGAATCCTCTTCACTCCTTGGTAAATTGAAAATAGTAAACATTTTTGCAACAGAACAATAGGATAAGCAATTCAAAATTCACAATAAATAACATCTGGCTCAATGAAACCACAGCAATTCAGAATTCATGATAAATAACATAAATAACACGTGACTGAATGAAACCAGAGCAATTCAAAATTTACTATAAATAACACATGGCTCAAAAAAATTGCAACAGTTTGGAATTAATGATTTGGCCATGGTTTTCAACTATCATTGGTGATTTAATACAGAGCCCGTAAACTTCCATAAGTACCAATTTCTTTTTCAGACAAAAAGAAATAATTGTTGCACTAACTATTAGACTAAATTACACCACAAATTTTAAAATCTTTTTTGAGAGTTAAGTGAAAATCCTAAACAGATGCAATAAATAACACAATTTTATAATGAGCTCATAGAATATGATCTCAATCCAATAAATCTTGATTATCTCAATCAAGGATATCTGCAGCAATCATTTTAAATCTTGACTATATAAATCAGGGATAACTGAAGCAATAATTTTAATGCATTTTAATGCATTTTTTCCAGTCTTAACTTATTAGTATTATTGTTTGGTTTATTTATTCGGTTTTATTTATTTATATTTATTTGTGGTTTTATTAACTATTTTACTTTGGTTTTATTTTATTGTTTGGTTTTATTTACTTTTTATCATTTAACCCTTTTTCACTTGAATGAGAAATGAGAATATATAATTCTGAAATATAAAGATCAGTTTGTCTTTTCCATTTAAAGCCCTGGTACACATTTCCTACATGAAGCAAGTGCTATATTTTTCAGTGTTATTTCATTACATTTTATTTTATGTTCCTTCTCTTTTATTTTTTTTTTATTTTATTTTATTTTATTTTATTTTATTTTATTTTGAGAAAATACTTTTTGCCTATAGAAGATAACAGAACAGACACATGAGAATGAAATCAAGAATTTTAAAAAAATCTATGTTCTTGAAATGAAATTGTCAGATACTTCTCAATCAAAACAAAAGCAAAAGGAAATTTTGGAAGAATAGCACTAGTTGTAGCTGTTTAATTAATCATGTAAAGTGATGAAGCACTACAGTGAGAGCTTCTGAGCATAAAAACCATTTTCTAAAAATATGCTAAATAAAACCCCATAGAATAAATAAACTATGGTCACAAGGCACATTGCCTATTACAAAACATGATGTAACATTTTTTTACTACCACAACAATAAAATAGAAAATATTAAAAGTGTGACAGAATCAAGAATCATACATTTTATCTGTAAATCAAATGTTGAAGTCAGTTTCAAGGTTCAGGAATAGTTTCAATTAATGACACACATGTTTAGGTAGCATAATCATTCATTACCATTCAAACAGATGCTTTCACTAATACGTCATACCCACTGATTTCTTTTGGTTTTCGGTAAATTAAGCTTAGCAATAAAATTATGCTATGATTTAGAATGAAACCATTTGCACCAGCCTGAGTCCCTCAGTTACATAAATTAAACTCTTTATTAATCCATAAAGGTTAATAAGAAGCTTTGAAGATAGAAAATTAAAGACAAAGATTATTTGCAAACATTAATGAGAAATGTATTATAATTAAAAACTAAATCCAAATGATGGTAGCAACGTTTATCAAATTCTCAGTCTTATAACTCACATGAATTACAGATATTATTAAATCCAAGTTAGGAAGGGAGCAAATAATTAGATACACAAAGCAGATTTTATTAATTACAATAATAGAGTAAAAGTTCATAAAAATTATTATTTAGAAATATTATAAATCATATGAATTAGATGCATTATAAATTACATCATTTAGAGATATTAAATAAAATGAAGATACAAGTTATTAAGAAATACATACATTCGTTTTGATTTAAGTTAGTTAAGCAATAAACTGGCTTTAATTTGAAAGATAAATTAAAAACCTTATGCAACATTAAGTAGCAATGTCACTGAATTAGCAGTTTTCTATGGTACAAACTGTATTTAATTTGTATCTTAATTTAGGCATAATTATATGGTTTTAATATCAAATGTAATTTTATTCTAAACCATATTGACATCTAATTACATTTATCTCTCTGGAATACCAGATTTCAGTTGTATTCAGGAAAAGATTTATAGTATCATTATCATGCACGAGGCCGGATTTACTTATAAACTACACAAACTATAGCTTAGGGACCCCACTTTCTTAGGGGCCCCCCAAAAAATTAAAATTTATTATAAGAACTTATAAAAAACACCATATCTTAAGTAGCTTAGGGCCTCATCAAGTTTAAATCTGGCTCTGATCATATTTTGTTTTATTAAATTTTTTAATAAGTGAAATAATTTCCGACATACAGAAAACTATCTCATAAATATTTAAAGAAAATCACAAAAATAATAAAATAAAATAATATTAACAAATATCACCATACTTTAAATAATCCATGATGATGAACTACACCTTCTTGTTCATGGAGTAGAGACAAAAGGGAATACTCTGTATGCAACAGCATTTTGCCTTGTCTATCATCCTGAGTTTCATCTTTCAGATCTTGCAATGTTAAAAGCTATGAGAAAAGTAGTATATAGTGGAATTTATCATCTGTACCTGAACATTATCCTTAAAAAAATTTTATAAATAAAATAATGAACTTTACAATATTTAAAAAATTTAGTCCTTTCAGTATTGCCTTAGCATTTAATTTTGCTCAGTTTCCAAGTTACTGATAGTTTTCACAAAAGCAGTTATAAGAATTTCATTAAAAAAGTTTAGGAGATGCTTAATATACATAAAAATAAGCATGTACCTATTATTGCCCCATTTAAACTTTTTAAAATTGCCAATGTTCATTCATTTTCTTTCTAACAAGAGCTACATACTCATTCCAATGCAAGTAAAAAAGTCTAAAAGATGATAGAAATAAATGGATTTGCCAGTGGAAGAGATGAACAATCCTGGTATATTACATGAGAGATAAAATCTTATGTTAAAGGTACAAAATTGGCAACATGTCTTATCCAATTTAAAATCATATTATTCAAATAACAATCATGATGCATGTTTTTCAGGCATTGTTTAATTCAGTATTCAGATTTCAATCTCCCCCCCCCATTAGAGCAAATCATCAGCAAAAAAATCTTCAAAAAAAGAGCTGTTTTAATAGAGCAATTAATCACTGACTAGCAGATCTGTAGGTTTATTAATGTTGACAATGAACACCAACAAACTAATAACTGAACTTTGAGGCAGGTCTGTCTCAGTTTGCCTAAAACTTGATGTTTGCTTTCAATATCAGATCACATGAAATCATTGAGTAATAAAGCTCTTGATCAGGCCAAGTGTATCACCAATTTTGCCAACAGCCTGCGGATAAGGTTTAAGAGCCAGATTCAGTCACAGCTGACTTCACATTTGGCTAAGCCCACAAGTTATGCTTATATCCAAGGACTTATATAATTTGATATTTTCTAAAATTGATACAATGATAGCTTTAATCCAAATTCAGAGAACTCTAACTTTGATTATAAAGATCAAGCAGAACTCTGGGAATTTAAATTCAGATGTTTTATAAATTTAAGATGTATAATATTACCAATGCCTAAACTTTTACTGCTTATCATCCTTCCGATAACTTTACCTAGCTCTGTTTCAAATTTAGAGTTGAAAACTGGGTAGCAAAGGGCATTTTCAGGATTATGAAATTTTAATTATTTCTTAATATATGATATTTAATTAATTAATATAAGATTTTTATAGCATATGTGAAGCGTGTCTATAAAAATGGCTTGATGATTTGTAGCAACATCTCCAAATCTGGAAACCAACTGGTTTCAAATTTAAATATATGCTGAAAGATATGGCAAAACTTACGAAAATTACATAAGAGATAAATGGAAATGAAATATAGGAAAAAGTATACACATTAAATGCAAACAATAGAATTCTTCATCTAATATGTAACATGTGATATTCAATTACACCAAGCATCCTTTATCTTGTTTAATACACACTTAAAAATTTTTTTGATCATTAGTTGAAAGTTTTCCCATATACTTTGAAGTGAAATGGATTTCCGAACAATACTCCAGTGTACTCTAGATTATATGGGTGAGGATTATCTGTATGTGGCTGTACCCGAACACTCACACTTGATGCTATGCACAAGAGTGTAAAAAACAAACATATGCAAGTAAAAGCATGGAAAAAGATTCTTCCTAATATAGAAACAGAGATTTACCTAATTGTGAAGAAATCAAGTCAATAATTGAAGTTGTGTGCCAAAAATATGAAAACATAAAATTCTTCAAAAAAACATCGAACAGGAAAATATGAAGGAATAGTTTGACTGAGCTGGACTTTCAGTGCTTAAGTGATGCAGATATCATTTCAAATGTCACAAGAACAGAAGAAGCACAGAGTGATTTTGAAAATACAAAAACATACTGACAATTACTTTAGTCCCGAGATAGCAATGACTTCTACCTATTGGACTTCCTAGACCAAATGGGATTTGAATAAAACAAAATAGCCCTTCAAAAAAATACTGAGACTTTCTCCAAAACAAAGTTGGCTTGGTTTGAAAAGTTAGCTTACGTATGCAGGACAATGAATACATTAAAAGAACTGTTTTGGCTTGGTTTAGTTTATTTGATTATGGCAAAGAACTCAAGAACTAGCTGCCTAAGGGAAGGGATGTCTTCATGGAGGACTTTTAAGGAACACTGCCTCGTAACAATTCACAGGAAGAAAACCACGAAAATGGTCATACAGCCATTTTCGTGCATTCATAGTATGCCAGTAAAATAGCATTCCTTGTCCCTCCTGTTGTCAATCCAGTTCATTTAAACTAAATTTATTTGTTATTTAAAACCACCTTAATATGACAAATGCAATGAAGATAAAAACCACACAATACTGCAGATTAAATAACTGAACAATTACCTATTAGAATTAAAGCATTAAAAAAATTACAAATTAGTTTTTACTTACCTTTAAAGTATAAAAGTCATCAGTTCCAATTTTCCTCGCTAAACACTGAACAATACTACGAACAGGAGAATTACCAATTCTTGGACCTGGCAAACAAAATGGGTTGATAATTTGATATTTCGGTCAAATATGAAAATGCTTCTGGACAGTTAAATAAACTGTTTACATAATTTATGAAATTGATGATTTCGGCAGAATTATAGATAATACTCATTATATATGATCATAAATAAACATAGCAAAATTCAGTAGTTATGTATCATGCCAACAACCATGAAAGTTGGCAATTATTCTGCCAAGGTTGCACTAATCATTCCCATGAGATTCTGAAGGAACTAATGCCTCTTTATTTAATACACAGTTAGTATTTAACCTGTTTTGTTCTCGAGCCTTCCAAAAAGGCTTTCGATTTCTACTATTTTGTTAAGCCCTCTGATTTTAGAGAGAGTTCAGTTTAGATTGCTGAGAGTACAAATTTCCCACTGGTAATTTTTCAGTCTATTACTGTTTTGTCAGTTATATTCAGTTGATATATCATGTCCATTAATACACAATTTTTTGAAGGTAGGATCTCTTAAATATCAAAATGTACTACTGCTTATTATCTGTAGGTCATAAATTAGTCATTTTTTTCCCAAAATGCCAGGAAAATACACAGCAATAACAGTTAATTTAGATCCTTATCCATAAAAACAAAAAGATGACTTATAAAGAATAAACTGGTTACATTAAACAAGTATCACATCAAATACTTTAATAGCAATCTTAATAAATATCATTAAAAGATGAATTTTTTTTTTTTTTTTTTTTTTTTTTTTTTTTTTTTTATGCACAAAATAAATATGGGGTTAAGAATATAAAAATTAATATCATTTGAAAACTCTTTATTTAATTAAAAACCATCATCTATTTTACGAGAATCCACTATAGCAGAATTTTTTAATCTATGGTCCTTGAAGCCTGCCCTTTTGGTCTTCCTAGATTACCCCAAAAGACAAAAATAAATTTCAGATTGCTATTCACACTATAGCTGATTATCTCAGAGACCAGAAATTTTATATGGCAGTCATCTAGCTATCACCTTTTCTCCCAAGACTGACACTTACAAAACCTTTTACTGGTTACCCTACCTACAGACATTCCACTTTAGTCTTAGCAACAAAAGGATTTAAAGCATTACAAATGAGGTGCTTTTCACCATCCTTTTGCTGTGCATTTAGCACTGTGCCTGCAATCCAGCAAGAGACTATCCTATCATCACAATGCATCAAGTACTGAATCTTCTTTTCATGTGTTTATGACTTTCTTAATATTGCTGGGGATACACAGAAATGTCTCACACACCAATAAACTGCACTTTCATTTGTTGAAAATCTGACATGTTTCTGTATTAGTTTCTTCATTTTTATTTTCCAAATTATGACAGGAAAAATTTTACACTCTAGCTGTTTTAAAATCAGCTCTATAAATCCAAAATAGAACACTTTCCTCTTTCTATCCCACCCCCTGTTGACTTGCCATGTCTGTGAGTCCACTGGTTGTGTAGCTGTTTGAAATCCTAATTATGTGATAAATGTTAAGAGTTGTCTCACTGCTAACCAAACCCAGGCTTCAAAATGAATCTATAAAAAGCAAGAAACGTGATGACCCTTTATTTAGGTAGTGCTAATACCACATAAGTTGTCTGTCGTTATGATAATTAGATCAAAAATGCCAGAGACATTAAAAAAAATACCTACTGGTACTCTTACCCATTCAAAAAATAAATACTTTGTAAATATGACAACAGTTATTTGAAATTTGAATTTACTTGGTGTGGCGATGAGAGGGAAACAAAACCTCAGTCTAATGAATGTCATGAAATGCTTGGAAACGAGTGTATGAATACAGTGAAACTGCAACGAACAAAAAAGCAAAACATACAAGCCTGAAAATTTAACCTGCTGAGCTGAATAAAGAAATCGAAGTTGTTTCTGATACAGGTTCCACAACTGAAAAGGCCTCAGAAATTTCAGTACTTACATATTAGCACAATTTGGTGACTCTTTACAGAAATAAAGGTGATTTGGTGAATTTTCAAACTGCAACTTACAATGGAAATGGTATTACCTAAAGAACTGTTATGTACATGGTTGCCACAGTTTGGCAATATCTCAAAATTTAGCAACATCTACTAATACATAATAATACATAAATACTGAAATCTACTATTCTGCAAATCTTCACATAGTAAAAAACAGAACACCCTATTCTATAAGTGAGACTTTAATACTTCCATTTACAAAAGATATAATTAAAACAATGTTTTCAGTTTCAAAAAATCTAATTAAAACAATGTTTAGTGAAAAAATTATTTAAGGATATTACCTCTCAAGAGATAAAACTGCTAAATCAATGACATGAATAATATAGAGTCTGACATATCAGTATATAAAAAGTTTATTTTATTCATTTTAGACAGGCAAGAGAACAGATGTTTTGAATTATACAAAGCTAATTTGTTACATCAGGTTTAGCAACATGATGATATCTTATTTTCAAAGACTCTACCAAATCACACAACTGGAAAATAAATTTTTTAAGTATTAAAGCCTGAAAGAGCATGACATTAATTGGAAAAAACATGTAGGTATTTGTTCAAATGTGGCTTATGTGCTCTTCCATAGTACAGTGTCATTATATCTAAAGTTACACCTGTAGCAGCCGATGTTACCTGACCTCATTATTTCTTCATTAGAAAGGAAACCCAAACAGCCAAAGGTACATCATCTAATTTCTATTACAAGCTAACATTAAGATAATTATCTTTATTAAGGCAGAGGCTCTGAAAAACAGAATATTTTCATTACTTTGTGATGATATTGGGCAACAAGCACAAACATCTTCTTTATTCTGCTGGCTTTAAGCCAGCAAACTCAGAATAAAGTTGTTTAAATTTGTTGAAAATCTTGTTTGCTGGCTGATTTACAAGGTTCTTTGAATTAAGACAGAAAGTCTTATTATTTTTAAATAAATTAAGATTTTACATCATTTCTTGCTAATGACATGTGGCTAAGTAAGTAGACTTGCATATTTTTTATATGTATTATTCTTCAGACTAAATGAACTAAATGTCTGTAAACAAGATAATTCTTTGTTCTCAATGCCCGAGAGTAAAACCTAAAAGGGTTTGAGAGGATACATAACTTGTGAGTTAGTTGTGTGAAACAGGAATTTTTGCACCATTTTCATACTTAGAATAATTTTTAGTAGAAAAATGATATCATTATTAGAAAAAAATTATGCAACGACATATATTTGCATCTCAAATCTCTAAGGTCAGAATTTAAAACTTATTTTCAAAATTGTAAATAAGACAAATTTCCATAGATTCTCGATCCTTTCTATTAGAATTCCTATTTCACGAATTAGAACTTTTAACTGAATCTTAAATGACATTAGTTTTAAAATAAAATTCGAAGCAAAAGATATGGTTAATTTTTGGATCTCATTATCTTAAAAATGGAAGACAGTGAAAAGGACAATAATACTGTAAAAATTAATATTCAATGTTTTTCCTACATATCTGTATGAGAAAGTGTGTTCAACACTAACTCAAATAAATGCAAAACAAAGAACTCAATTTGATATATGTGCTGACATCAGACTTCAGCTAACCAGCAGACATGCAACATAAAAGAGCTCTACAAGATCTGGCAAGCTTAATGTGAATACAAAGATTTAATTTTTAGTTAATAAGCTAATTATTCAAACTCTAATAACTTTAAATTATTAAAAACGAATATAAATTTTCTTCCATTAATTATTTAATGTAAAATTAAATAAATCTGACTTAGATGCATTTAAAAAACATAAGTACAATAGAGGTAAATAAAATACATTAAAAATTGCTTTTGAAGGGACGAGAGTAAGGCAGTCCACAGAAAATTCTAGTTTTTAAAAGTTGACTACTTGTAAAGCTTGAGAAACACTACACTAAAGCATCCCATAGATCAAATATTTTTTTTCTCAACGACAAGCTAACAAAATATTCACTTAATCGTATAAAAAAGTTCCCTATCCTTTACCTGACAATTATGAATATGAAAACATTTGATTTTAAACAAGAAACGATACATTACCCAGCAGAATATCAAAAAACATTTCAGAAATAGTTAAAAGAAGAAAATGATAAAAGTTCTAGCACCTAAGTTATATTAGTTTCTGAACTGCACTGAATGTCGGCTTAGAAATATGAATAAACTTATCAAATACAAACTATCTACGTTTAAATTTTAATATGGAAAACCAGATAGGAACATACAGAAAAAGATTTTCAGAGATTTGATCATGCCACAACATATCAAACTGTCACTGTTTTCTGTAATTTGATAAACAGGACAATGAAGAGTTTCAATGTACTCAGAAGCCTTTTCACTAGTAATTCATACCCCTTTTCACCAAAGACTTTTGTTAATCATCATTTGTTAAAAAGCACTTATTTTATTGGCAAACCAAAAATGTGCTCATATTCTACAGCAAAAAAAAAAAAAAAAAAAAAAAAAAATTAAAGCTTATTTTGATATTAATAGTTGGAAGTTCTTATGCAAATGAGGAAAGAGAATTTGAAATTTTTAACAAAGCTACTCAAATTATGAGAGAAGCAGCCGAATTTCAATACATATATCCATGAAAAAGTAAAGATTTTCATTTTATCTTAAAGTACACATTCTGTTATAACATTTTTTCTGGTCAATCTGCAAAACAAAAGAAACTTGGAATTATGCAGTGATATTTTTTTAATTCTTTAAAAAACTTGTTATAATATTGACACTGCAACTACTGCAATTATTATTATTATAACATGTAACTCTTTCCTATATTAATAATTCTAGTCTGTGCATCAGAGCTTAAATTCAGTCTAGTCTAACTGAAGTCCAGCATTGGTACTTCTCAGTCTTTGAATAAAATCCTAATTCCACCCAAAGCCCTGGATAACATAAACTTCAGTATTCTCCTAAATTACTTCACAATCTGACCTTAATTTAATGTTTTTAGCCCAAAAGAGTGTTAGTCCAGTAGGGCTATTAGTCTAGAAATGACATTT